GAAGAGGGGCGTTAGGGCAGTTTAAGGGGGTCGGGACTGCCGCTTCCTGCCGAGGGGCAGACGCGCCTCCCGAGTCCCGGGCTGCAGAGCTGACGGGGGAGAGAGGTCCAGGACCCGCCGGCACAGAGGGACCCGCCGGCACAGAGGGACCCGCCCTGGAGGAGAGAAGTGGACCTGGGACCAAGCTGTGCGGTGGGCCCGCCCTCGAAGTCAGGCAGAGGGGAGGACCCAACACGGCAGCTGCCGAGGACACGCCAAGGTCAAGGCGAGTCCGTCGGCGACGGTGTTCTGAAACCCGACAAAGAAAAGGGCTGGAGGAGGAGCAGTTAAGTGTATTTAATGCCGTTGAGAAGTCACGTGGCAGCGGGACAGAGAACTTCGTGGCAGCGCGAGGTCTGGCCAGCGGGACGCCAGGGCCGCACAGAGTCAAGGGCAAGGCTTCGAGGGCGTCCGTGGCCCCCGGGGCCTCCTCGGGGGAAGCGAAGCTGTTCGCGGGCACGAGGCCCAGCAGAGTCCGGCCGTGAGCTTCCTCGGAAGCGCCCTCTTTGTCTTCGTTTCTACGCCCAGGCTTTCTTGTTACCGGGGATGGGATTGATGGGTCACACTGTGCGCGGAGGGGCCCGACCTGTCCCTGTGACACCTGTGTGTGTGGCAGGCTTCCAGGCCCGGCACCCTCCGCCTCGGGGGCACCGCCTGCCTCCGGCGAGCTGGCTCCCGGTGCCCGGCGGGCCCCCCTCTGCCCCGCGCCCCCGGGGCGGCCACTGTGTGTCCCGGCCTGGCTGCGCTGCTGCCTTTCATTTCAGGCGAACACCTCCGGCCGTGGTGCGATGGGTCACGTCCCCTGCACTCGCTGCCGTCACAGCATCAAGCCCTTCCTGGGTGCCTGACTCGTCCGGCGATGAGCCAATTCCCTGCTGTCACCTCCCCTGAAGTGCGGGCCCCACCAGGGCCGGGCATGCGTCCGGCTTCGCTCCCCGGGGGGAGGCTCGACCCGTCTCAGGTCTCGCATGCAGGGATGACTGTTTGTTGAAGGGAGGATGGAATGGCACCTGCCCCTGCAGTTAGCCCCAGGGAACCTGTGTCCGCCTTCATGTAGCCACTTCTGCTCTGTGGCACTGAAACCCCTGGAAAGGGATGACGGCGTGGAGTACAGTTTAACGTGACATACTACAGCTGTTAAAAACCTGTTAACGAGCTGTGATGATTTTGCAGTTTTGTCGATCCAACTTGAGATGGCGTTTTAGATACATCCTGTTTCCACGACTCAGCTTACGCCATGCAAACTCTGACGTCACTTCCTGGTCGTTTCCCAGCCTCAGTATTTTTGTTTATTGTGTTTTATTTTTATTAAAAAGCAACGTCAGTTAGACTTGACACTTGGTATTATTCTGTATTAGTGTCAGGTGGACGGCCTCGTGGTTAGACAGCCCTTTCCTTCACAAAACGGCCCCCCGATATTTCCAGTGTCCGCCAGACTCTACACAGAGTCGTGACATCTTATTAACGATAATCCCTCTGCTGTACCTTACATCATGCGGCTGTTTTGTAATGCCAGTTTGTACTTCTTACTGCCTTTCCCCCACCAAAGCCCCCCAAACCCTCCTCCCCTCTGACAGCTGTCAGTCTGTCCCCAGTGCCCACGACTCTCTCTTTCATTTGGGCTTTTTTTGGTCTTTTTGATTCTACATGTAAGTGAAATCATATGGTGTTTGCCTTTCCTGTCTGACTTATTTCACTGAACATGACACCATCTAGGCCCACCCAAGGTGTTGCAATGGGCACGATTTCACTCTTTTTCATGGCCCAGTAGTGTTCCGTTTTGTGAGTGCACCGCAGCTTCTGGGCCCAGTTGTCTATCAGCGGGCACTTGGGCTCCTTCCAGACCTGCCCGCTGTCAGTAATGCTGCGGTGAACACAGGGGCGCCTGCGCTCTTCTGAGCTGGTGTTTGGGTTTCCTTGGACATGTGCGCCCAGGAGCAGAATCACTGGGCCACAGGCAGTTCTATGTTTAGGTTTTTGAGGAACCTCCAGGCTGTTTTCCGCAGCGGTTGCACCAATTTGCATTCCCACCAGCAGTGCACCGGGCTTCCCTTTTCTCCACGTCCTCGCCCACGCTTGCCGTCTGTTGACTTGCTGGTGAGCAGATACTTCTGCCTCTGTAGGAGTGTTTGTCCGCTGTGTGCTCAGGGCCCGATGCTCGGCCCAGATGTGGTGACATGGAGGTCTCCTCGGATGCCCCGTGGAAGGCCAGCTGCTCCTGCCGGGGTGTCCAGGGGAGAGCTGCCCGCTCTCGAAGGGGACCTGTGCTCTGTGCCCCAGCGAGCTGCCAGGACCTTCCTTCGGGCCTCCCTGCCGACAGAAGCGCCTTAGGGACACGCACATCTGGCTTATCCCCGCCTCTGTTCCAGAGCAGCTGGACTGCCCACACACTTCCCCGCCGATGTCTCTCTGGATTGGCCTCTGTTGGTTTGGGCCACTATGGAAACGCAACACAGATTTTGCTACCAAAGTCCCACACTCCCTGTAGACACCGATCCCAACTTTAACTCATTAAAACACAACTCACAACCCAGCTCATGTGTTGATAATTAATCTCTGTATTTGTTGGGTGGACTCTCTCTGCCTCCCCACCCAAATGGAATTGAATCTCCTAAGTTCTCACTGGTTCCTCAAAGCCATGCTCTTCAAAGGCCCTGTTAAGTGTCTCTTTAAGGCTAGAGCTCGTTGCAGAGTCTGTTTGATAGACTGAACCCCCTTTTAAAAGACCGGAGGTCGCGCACCTCCCCCGGCCAGACAGGCTGCCGGAACGGCAAGCTCGCAGAACACACGTGTTTGCTTGAGGACGTCCAGAGCTGGCCCCCGTGGTTCTCCGCTGCGCACGCAGTTCGGGAAATAGGTGGTCGGGCTAAAGTGGACCCTCGGACACCATGGGTTTCAACTACGAGAGTCCACTGTCCACTAATACGCAGATTTTTTTTTCAATAAATACACAGTTGGTCCTCTGCATTCTTGGGTTTCAAATGAATGGATTCAACCAACCACGGATGGAAAACTGGATTCTCTGTCTGGCGTTGGGAATCTGTGGGTGGGGGGTTAGGTGGTAACTGTTCATGCATTGTTCTGAAGAACAATTTTGTAGAAGAGACTTAAGCATGCACAGATCTCGGTGTCCGTGGGGGTCTTGGAACCAGTCTCCCGTGGATACTGAGGGATGACTGTGGGCAAGGTTTTGGTGAGTCAGAAGTTATACTTAAATTTTTGACTGTGTCGGGGATCCGTGCCCCTAACCTTTGTGTTGTTTAAGGATAAACTATACTTAATACCATGACTTTTGACACATTTTTCAATAGGCCTCCCTACTGGAAAGTAGGGCTCACACTTAGGGCTATTTTATTTAAAAATACATGTGCAAAAAGAGACCCACGTGATTTTAATGGAGCAAACGTACTGTCTTTGAGAGACTGGAAACTGTAAGAAAGATAGTGAAAGACTGGGGAAAGGAAGGGGGAACATGAAGGGTGTCAGGTAGACAAGGAAGGGACGTGAGATGAAACTTCCATGTTGTTCAAAGCGTGACCTGCCTGCACCCACCTGGGCGACCTTGGACCCAGCACCTGGCCCCTTGGAGCTTCCTCCAGAAGATGAGGGGCAATGACGGTGTGTACCCCAAACACCGCTGTACAGATTGGGTCATGCGATTAAAATGCTAGGTATGGCCCTGGCTGGCGAAGCTCAGTGGATTGGGCGCGGGATGTGAACCAAAGCATCGCAGGTTCGATTCCCAGTCAGGGCACGTGCCTGGGTGCAGGCCATGACCCCCAGCAACCACACATTGATGTTTCTCTCTCTCTCTCTCTCTCTCTCTCTCTCTCTCTCTCTCCCCCCTTCCCTTCCCTCTCTAAAAATAAATAAATAAAACCTTTTAAAAAATGCTAGGCATGGTCCTCAGTGCTGATAGTCACGATCACACACAGCAAAAATCTCATTACAATGTCATTATCCAGAATTTCAGAGGTGGGGTATTTCTGTTTGCACCAAGCGGGCGTGTGGGTGCCAGCAGCCAGAGGCAGAGAGAACGAATACACTCGTGAATATGAAAAGACGTGTTCACTTAAATCCGAGAACCCCACAGCAGCGCTGCGGACCTGGGGAGGGGGCTCCCTGCCGGCCTGGGTCCCGCGGGAGCCGCGTGAGCATGGCGGTTTGGCGCCCAGGACGATGCCGTGTGCTGCACGCTCGGCTGGGCGCATGGCGCCTCTTCGCCCGCGCGCGCCCCCGGGGACTTGCTGAGAGGCCCGCAGGCGCGGGAAGAGCGTTGCATTAACTTGCGTCTCGTAGTGGGAATGGTGGGGAAGCACTGCTGGGGGACAAGAAGAAAAGGTGAACTTTTGTAAGAGACGGATCTTGACTTTGGCCGCGAGTCCCTCCCTCGTCAACAGCATCGAGAGGCACGACTCCTCTGGGGGGGGCGTTGCGTAGCCCAGGGGGGCTCTGGTGGCAGCCCTGGGACCGCCCGTGAGGCCCCCTGGGGGCTTCCGCGTAGGAAATGGTTTGACTGTTCCACCTGCCGCACGGCTGGGTTCTGAGTGCCCTGGTCCCAACCGCGGTTACTGGTTTCCCAGACTAACCAGACACGTAGCTGTTTACCTGGGTCTTTTCTCCCCGTCCGATTAGGTAATCACTTCGCCATCACCTGCCCGTGCCGCCTCTGTCTAATCCTCTGTTGGGTGAGAAAACTGTTGGTTATTTGCGGGGGGATGTGGTACTTGAAACAGTGGTGCCTATTGTGAGGGTATCACAATACACCGTGAATATTGGGATACTTAAAAACACCTTCCCTAAAGGGAAGAAAAAAACATCTTCCAATAAGTATAGGCCTGCTGCCGCCGGCCAGCGACTGGACCAGGGACTTTCAATAGGAGCAGGCCCGCTCGCCGGGCCTGGGGACTCGAATTAAGGAAGTGTGGTGCATCTGCTGTGACTTTGAACGGCTCTCTCGACTTCCTGCAGAGAGGAGGGCGCCCCGTGCTTTTGGAGAAGTCAGTAAAACCGAATCTGACATCACGGGTGAGCCAGCCAGCGGCCTCCGCTCCGGGCAGCAGAGGAGGAAGCCGCTCCCCGCGTGATAACGCATCAGTGAGGAGTGTCAGTGCTGGTCTCACTCCTTTCCTTCGGCTTCAGGGCGAGGAGCGGCCGCCGAGATAACCCTTCTTTTGCCTTTTCAGAGGGACGCATGCTGTTTCCGAAGGGCCCGGCCGACCTGCAGACATGACCGTGTACCTGTGGCTGAAAGTCCTGGCGACCGCCTGCCTGCTGCTGGGCCTGGGCGGGCTCGGGGAAGGTAGGTGCCCGGGTCACGGCGTCCTCGCCGAGCCTTTCCTGCTGCAGGGGCGGTGGTCCGAAAGAGGCACAGACCTAAGTTTCGGGTCGGGGACCAGAAGTGGCGGTGGGGGGTGGGGTGGTCAGAGTTGTGCTGGCTCCAACTGGTTTCCTTTGAGACGCAACTCACTGCTTCTACCGAGAAAGGCCAGTGGTGCGTGGGGAGAAAATCGCCATTTAAGAGGAAAACTTGCCTGTTTCCCTCTTTGTTTACAAACTCTCGGAGGGCATTACAAAAGCAGTAGTGACTTAACCCTTCAGGGTCCAGGGGCGTAAGCGGGTGTTAAGTCTAAAGACATGTTAATGGCCACACAAGTGAATTTTTATCCTTTGAACCAAACGTGAATTTTTAAAAAGTTACCGTGTGCCTTTGGTTGCACGCAGCTACCCTTCCTTCTGGGGCCGGCAGGGTTGCTTCCTCAAATTTTGATTAAGAGTAACAACGCTTTGTTGACTATGTAGTTACATGATAGTTTAAAGTAATACACCTGGCTACTTCGTAAGATATGAACGTTTTGCATCTCCTCGCCACAAATTGTATTTTAAATCAAGTTTCTGGCTTTCTCCTGGTAGTTTTCATGCTTGCGTGCTTTGGCAACTCTGAGGGCCACCGCCCTTCCTGGGCGATGATGGGCAGAGCGATGTGAGGCCCCGGTGAGTGGAAGCACGGCGTCTCAGCCACCAGGCCCACGCTGTGCTCTGCTCTGCTCTGCTCTGCTCTGCTCTGCAGGGAGCGTGGCTCGCCCGGCCTGCGGCCCGGACTTAGGTGTGAGGGCTCACCGCCCTGCCGGTGCAGTGAGTGGACCTGGTTCCAACAGCTTCAGTGCGGGGTACATTCTGGTTGGTTGTTACACACAGCAAAGCAAATTGATATTTAATGTTACTCCTTGTGATGTAGTCTCTAAAGCTGTTTTTTTATTATTGAAATGGCCGTGAAATACGGTTTTTGTAGAAATATCAAGTAAGTGAAAAAAAGGAGATAATTATTTTTTAAAATCTTGCTGGTCGGTGCCACTCTGGAACACATAGTTTGCTTTGTCTCTCCGCCACTGCCCTCTCCTCTCCTCCAAAAGGCAGGGCCGTGGCCAGCCCCTGAGCGTGTGATGTTGTCGGTTCACACCCTGCGCGGCCCAGGACACAGAAAGCCGTGTGTGAGAGTGTGTGTGTCTTTGCGCTGCAAACATAGGTCGAAGTGATTTTATACAGGGACAGCATTCCCTCTTAGCACAGAAAAATGTTTATTAGTTGCCGTCCTTATAGAGTTGCTTATCATAACCCAAGGGATTACACAAAGAAAAAAACCTTGCAGACACCGACGATAGCATGGTGACTGCGGGGGAAGGGAGGCCGGCGGGTGGGGGAGGGGGTGAGTGGTGATGGAAGGGGACAGGACTCGGGCTGGCGAACACACGGTACAATATAGAGATGATGCGTTGTAGAATTGTACGCCTGGGACCTGGATAATTTTATTAACCAGTGTCACTGCAATAAATTCCATTATATTTTTTTAAAAGAATAGTAAGCTTAATAGGGTGATAATATGTGTATTATCATAAATCAGAGCGAATTTCCATGAAAAATTGGCATCCAAGAACAGTTGCAAAGCACTCCCCAAAGGGCGCCAAGGAATGCAGAGATATGTTGTTGGCGACAGAGCAAATCACCGTACGAATTTCAATCCAGTCTATTAGGGATTTTTACCATAAGAAACATCTTTAAATTTGTAATCAAAATAAAAGTATAAGATGACCTAAAAACCTTGATATTCATTCTGCTGAATAACTCACACTAGAAATAAATGAATAGATAAAGCACAGATTTGTTTTGAAAGACCAGCTTGAACTTCAGTCGCTCACGGAAGCACTGTGAGCGAACCTTTTTCTGAAGGAGGTGGACGGCAGTCTTCCTGAAACGCAGGGCTGGAGATGCCTGCGTCCATGCGGCCGTGGGTGCCTGCAGTCCTGCTTATTGGGCTTTTAGTATCCGAGAGACATTTTGTGATTCGATGTATCACTTGGGAAGCTACTCATGCTTTAAATTATGTGCTTTTCTTTGTGAGCGACCAATGCACTGGATTATGTTCTGTTGTAAAGTGTCACACCTGAGCTTTGTGTCTGTAGGGACTATTAGGTAGGTGTTGCAGGTATCAGACTTACACTGCAAACTCTGAAGACCCAAAGAAACAGGAGCGCACATAGGGAAACGTGAGTGGGGAGGAACAGGGGCACAGTTCACACGTTGTCTCACCTCTGAGCACAACCACGTAAAGCTGTGTCGGAGGCAGCCCTGGGGGCTAGAGTTCTACACACAAGTCGGCCGTCTCTTTGCCCTGAGCCTCTGCACCGTGAAAACTGGAAACCAAAACTTTGCTCAGAAGTTCTGGGGAACCGCCAGGGGCAGCGATGGTTTTGAGAACGCGGCCCCGCGTGTGAGCGCTCTGAGTCATAACAGCCCGGATCCGTTTCCTGGACCCCGCTCTTCATTTTTCCGTCCACCCTGAAAGGAAACTCCTCATGTTGCAAACATGTACTGTGCCTTGCGCCGCTCAGGGGGTCTGCGCGAAGGATACATTCAATTTGATAGGCAGTCCTGTGAGGTTCTAGATGCGCTGCAGTGTGGGGATTCGGGGCTCGGTGATTATTTATGGAGTTTTTCAAAGTGTTTTCATAAGAAGAACCTGCCTGGGAGCCTTATCATTGCTAGCGTTTGAGGTGCGTTTTGTTAGAGGAGAGATCAGGTGCGCTGGGGCCTTTCTTCTGTTTCCTCTGTTGTTCTGCGTCCCTGAGGTCAGGGTCGGTGGGGGGTCAGCTTGGGCGGGGCCGAATGAGTGACTTATATATGCTGGCTCTATATTATAAGTATATGCTGATATAGAAATAAATGTATGCATATTTTATGTAGCTTTTGTATTTTATTTGTACTTGTATTTATGTATTTTATTTTATGTAGTTTCATGTATATTCTCTATCAGTCTATCCTCTGTCGACTGGTTCCCCATTTTTGTCTACTTTGAAAAATTAGAGTTCTGGGGGCTTCTGTTCTTGGCCGTTTTTCTTTGTATTTTCTGCACTCAGAGCCTCTTATCAATACTTACTAAAGGTTTTGATTCTCTGCAGACACACCTCTGAGGTATGGAACCTAGCTTCTTTTCTAAATTTAATCTCAGTTTGATTTGCAAAAAAAAAAATCTGAAATACATGGAACTGCTCCCCAAATTCTGTGATTTCCGTTTTCAGTGCTCCCTGCGATCTTCCCCTTCTTCGTCTCTGCTGCCGGCCCCTCCATTCAGGCCCTCCTGGCTGCCACCTGGGGTGTGGGCACAGGCTCTGGGTTCGTCTGGAGCCTCGGTCACTCCGTCCCACACTCCCAGCTCAAAGCTGGGAGACGGAAGGGGGCGAGGCATCCGACACCTTTGCGCCGCCTTCGGGCTGCGCTCTGAGCTCCGGGCCAGAGCGACGGAGCTCGCGGGCCGGCGGGGCGTGGGGCCGGAGCTGGGCAGGGTCCCTTCGGCGTTCTCTTCGGGCCAAGGGAAGCAGCCGCGCCAGCATCGGCCGTTTCCACACCGGCCCACTTGCCCAAGGCCTGCCGAGGCTCTGAGCAAATTCTGTTTCCTCTCTCGGGTTCCCTTTTACCTCCTTGGCCCCGAGACATCGCCCCGAGACAGTGCCCCTGAACTTGCACATGTCTTACCCCCTTCCCTGGGCGTCCTTCACCCAGGAGCAGTGAGGCTGCGCCACCGAAATTGTTTCAGACGCACACTTTTCCAGGCTCTCCCCGGCCTCCCCGCCGCCCCCCCCCCCCGCTATTTCTTCTTCTGTCTCCGAGTTTACATTTTATCTGCAAAGATTTCCTGACTTCTTGAAAATCCGTCGTTCGCGAATGTTGTCCCCAAGGTTGGCGTTTCGGCGGTGGGTCGTGTTTGTTGTGCACAGCCGGAGGGGCAGGGCGAGTCAGGGAGGGTTGGGGGGAGACACTCCTCGCGCAGGAGACCAGACCGCGGTGCCGGGGGCCGCCCTGCGGGTGCCCCTGCTCCAGGCGCGGGGCACCGTGCGGTGGGATGTTTCCACGCACAGATGAGGGGTGCGGCGCCCGCCATGTTGCCCGCGGGAAGTGTGTGTTGTGGAGGGTCGGGGCCCCGCCCCCCCCAGATGATGTGATGATGGATTCCAGTCTGCCTCGCTCCCCAGCAGACCTGTGCGGTCAGGTGGGTGCACTGGGTGGGCGGGGCGGGGGCACGAGGCTAGTCCAGGTGAGGCTGGGCACACAGACCACGCGCAGGTAAGCCACCTCGGTGCAGAGAAAGGTGCATCTTTCCAGGCCGTGTCCCGTCATATGGTTACGGGGATATTTGCACAGAGAAAAACAGAATGAACATGTAACTGGATCGCAGTTTAAGCTGAATTTCCATCCAGTCTAAAGAGCTGTTAGCAGCAGAGAGCCATCCTGGTTGCCTGTTATCAAGGACTGGTGCTCTGACCTCGTATCCACAAAGGCAGTACTCTTTGAGGAAGGTCAAAGGGAAAAATGGAATATTGCAGGCTACTCATTTAGCAATGCGGCGTGGCTGATTTCACTGCGACGTGGACCGAAACATGGCAACTACTGGGCTGTGTTCACATGCCCATCACCAGTATTTACATCGGAAACTGTCTGACTGTTGCCTGAACTCTCTCCCATGCATTCCTCTTTCACACATCTGTGTGCTCCTGACTTCGGCCCGTCTGGACTCCCGGGAATGGCACCTTGAAGCAGAGGGCCGGGTGTTCGGGACCCGCCACAGAAACTAGGAAACACAAAGAATCAGAGCTGCCCTGCTCGTTCAGCCAGAACAAGCATAAGGATACATGAAGTTAACTACACATAACTACCCGTAACTACACGTGACGTCCGCGGGAGTGAAATGTGTGGGCATCTTCCACGTTGGCTCCTACTGTCTTCGGCCGACGCACTTCCAGAAAGAGA